CATTATCAGCTGAAACCCTAAATTAATATAGTTCACAAAGAAGAAAATAATTTGAAGAGGAAAAGCTTCCTGTCCTCCTGTTACTGAGCTGTTACTGTATTTAGATACTGTATTTAGAGGCATGACTTTATCAAGTCTGACTTGAGCTCTGGGGTCAGTTATAGACTTCTAACCTGCAAAGACGCTTGGTGTGAAGGAAGAGCAGGTGGCAACTTCAGGGCGGCACTTCTGGGGGCTTCTCAGCCAGCCTGCCTCGCGCGGCCCTTGCAGACCATGTGGGCCCAGAGCAGAGCACACAAGCGGGTCCTCGTGCGTGCATTCGCTGCTGTCTTCTCCAGCTCAGCTTGCTTGGCTCAGCCATGCAAGAGGCCCCAGGGTCAATCTGCTGCGCTGCCAAGATCAAGCGATCAAGAATGGTTAGTTTAGGGGCAGGAGAGATGGCTCAGTGGAATAAGCGCTTCCCTGGCAAGTGCAAGGGTCTGAGTTCAATCCCCGGTTCTGCCAAAAAAAAAAAAGAATGGTTAGTTCCACTACTACTACAACTACTACCTTTTTGATTTTGAACAAGTCTCCAGTGTTCTCATTTCAGATGAACTAAGGTACAAGGCAGGTTTTATTCTGAGGTATGTGTGTGAGATACTGAGAATTAAACTGCAGGGTTTTCTACCAATGAGCTATATATTTCCAGTCCTTTTGTTTTTTATTTTGAGATAAGGTAACAATAAATCACAGAGTGTGGCCTCAAACTCCTAAGTGTCTTGTCTCAGCCTCCTAAGCAGGTAGGAATATAGGAGTTTACCACCATGCTCAGCTCAAGGCAGTACTAAAATTCTCTATGTGCTAGCCAGGAAGATCTACAGGTAACTATGTACTACTCTCAGGTCAACAGGTAACAAGTAAAGCTGTAACTGAAGTATACAAATAGTAATTACAAATTACTAGAAAACTAAAGGGAAAAGAGAAAGGTAAGAGTACATTAGGTTTTTTTATATGTTATTTTTTCGAATAACTGAGTTGATTATCTTATGAATAAAATCAGCATATTTGATATTTCAAGGTTATCAAGAAATTGGATGTTTTAATTATGCATAAAATTATAAATCAGTTTAAAACATTTTAAAATACTGTGGTAAATATATGTGAACTATAAATTTGGCTACATTTAATGTTAATATTAAAGAAACATTAAAGAAAATATCTTTTTCACACTTTCTTTTTTGGCGGAACTGGGGATTGAACTCAGGCCTTTGTGCTTGCCAGGGAAGCGCTTATTCCACTGAGCCATGTCCCCAGCCCCCACACTTTCTACTAATTCAAAACGTTAAAGAGAAATAACATCTACTCACTAGTTATTATTTAAAAGGTTGGCCTGTGCTACATAACAACACCTCATCTCAAAAAAGCAAAAAATAAAAATAAAAATAGCACTTTTAAAAAAGGTACCTTTTTTTCTTCATCTTTTCCTTTTTTTGTACTTGGGATAGAACTCAGGACCTCGCGCCTGCCAAGCAGGCACTTATGCCCTTGCGCTATTCTCCCTGGCCACTTTTTTTCAAGTCAATCATCCATTTAGGAGCCAAGAACACAGATGAAGACAAAGTTTAGAAGCAAAGGAGGTGGGTCAGACGATACTAAGATATGACAGTCAGGTTTTTTGTTGTTGTTGTTGAATCCTGTATTTTTATGAAGTATTCCCTGAGAAATTATACTTACCAGCTTTGTATGATACAGTGTTCGTCTTCGCCACTGATTTTTTATAACATAAGTACACTGCAGAGCCCCACTGAATTAAAAAAGAGAAATGATATTTAATTTTAAAAGGCAGTAACTTGATTAAAATCTCTTTAAACTCAGCAGAATATATTATCTAAGATATAGTAGCAGAATTTTCTCCATTAGCTATTTTCAAATTTTTATTTTGTAGTATTATATTGGAATCAGTGCCCATTTTCTTTCAGGAATAAAATTGAACATTTTTTTATCCTTGCAATAACATAAGAAAAAGTTTATTTTTATAAACAAAACTAAGACAATTTAATTTTACACTAAGTCTGAACATTAAATAGAAATGATAAATTAAGAAACGCCTACTCATGTGTACTTTTCTTTTGATGCTAAAACCCCTTCTAGATAGTGCCATATTTTTCTGAAGCCCATTCTGCTAAACTCAAGAGTTGTAATTTCTTATATACATTTTCATATTTTTCTATTTCATATTTTTTCAAGAATACAAATTAGAATTTAAAAATTAGAAGTGATACAGAATTTCAGTTGCATATCAATTTCATAGTATTTGTTGTAATAGTGTTGTCTTTCAACCAGTTATTCATATTACCAGATATATGCATGTAAAATTGGAAGAAAGAAAGAAATGTACGAGAAATTAAGAAGAAAAAAAGTACAAACAATGGAAAAAGGAGACAAAACAAACTAAGCATTAACTCCTCCTTTCCATAGACCAGCAGAAATGCACAGTACAGTTTTCCAAACCATACTGCTTACACACATAGATAAATTTCTTTTCCCCTCTCCCTCTCCTGTTCTTCTCAACTCAGTAACTCTTTCCTTTTGAATAAATTCATTCCTTTTCCCGGTATCTATTATATCCTTCAGATTCCATTTTTTTTCTCTTTCAGGTTCTCACACTAAAGAGATAACATGATGTTGGCACATGCAGGTCTGATTTATTTCACTTAAGAGTATATTTTCTAGTTACATCCATTTAATGACAAAAGACTCAAATTTATACTGTTTTATAGCTGAATAATACTCCATTGTGAAAAATACCACATCTTCTTTATCCATTCTTCAGCTGATGGACATCTGAGTTATTTCCAAGATTTAGCTATGACAAATAGCGCTGCTATAAACATGGGTGCACATATATCACTGTGGTATGAGGTTTTCAGTTCTTCTAGAAAAATATCCAGGAGGGGAATGGGCTTGAGTGGGATCTCCAATTCTAGCTGTTGAAGGAATCTCCACTCTGATTGACATAGTAGCTGTACCAGTCTGCATTACCACCAATAGCAAAAGTGTTCCTTTTTCTCCACAGCTTTTCCAGAATTTGTTAATGGCTGACTTTTTTTTTTTTTTTCCATTTATGTATTTGGTACAGGGTCTCACTACGCAGCTCAGACTCAGTGATCTTCCTGTTTTCAGCCTCCCCAGCACTGGGATTACAGGAGTGAGCCACCATGCCTGGACTGGTTTGTTGGCTCAACATGCCCCACGGGTGGGGCTGGCAAGGGACCTGGGACCAGGGATTGAACCCTGGTCCCTGCGCTTGCCAAAGCAGGCACTTAGTCCACTAAGCTATCTCGCTGGCCCCGACCAACTTCTTCATGTTAGCCATTCTTTCTGGGGTGAGATGGAATCTTGGTGTTGTTATAATTTACATTTCTCGAATGACCAACGAAGCTGAACATTTATTTTTTCATGTATTTACTTGCCATTTGAATTTCTTCCTCTGAGAAGTATAAATTCATCTCAGATGCCCACTTTTGGATTGGGTCTTCATCTTCATATTTTTCATCCTTTCCTAAATGCATTCCAAACCAGGATTAAAAAATGCCTTAACCGCCAGGCATGGTATACATACCAGCACTTTGCCAGGCTGAAAAATCACAAATTCAATCCCAGCCTGGGCATCTTAATGACTTACCAAGAACCTGTCTCAAAATAATGGGCTGGTGATGTTTAGTGGAAACGCTGGGCTCAACTGCCAGTCCTGGGGGAAAATACCTTAACAATTCCTGTGATGATGCCAGCTCTAATAGTTGATTCCTACCCTTCATGTTACTCAGCCTCTCAGCAGATTTTGGTACCACTGATGATTCTCTTTGTCCATCATTTCCTTGAATATGAGGCACCATGCTCTCCTGGTTCCTCCCCATCAAATCTCTGGCCACTCCTGTCCCCTTTGTAGAACTATTTCTCTTTTCCAGATCATTAAATGTGCTTCTTTCCTCTACCTCCTCTAAATGATGCACATTCAGTTGCAGCCACTTACTGAGGAATCTCAAATTTCTAGTCCCAGCTACAAAACCCCATCAATACTGCCACCAAACCCAGACTCACATCCAACTGCCTACTCTGCCACCTGGACTTCTGTGTTTAACTTCACATTCACAATAACTGTAACACAAGTCTGGTCTCCTCAAATATCCTCTTCCTCTAGTACTTCCCATCTTGAGAAATGGGCCTGTCATTTACTTAGTCCTAAAATGCAGGAGCCAATTCACTTTTCTTTCCATCTCAACCTCATATTCAATCCATCTACAGGTTCTATCAACTCTACATTGAAAATCTACCTTGAATCTGAGCACTTCATCATTTTTCACTGGGACTACTGCAATAGCCAAACTCTCAGCTTCTTTCTAGTCTTTTCCCTCAATAGTTTATTCTTCACAGCCAAAGGGAACCTATTAAGATGTAAATCAGGCCATGTCTCTCTCAAAGAGCTTCCTATCAGATAAGAACAAGGTCAGCCAAATAGCTCAGAGATAGTTCAGCAGATTAAAGCAGGGGCTGGAGGTTCGATCCCCAAGTCTGCCATGCCAGCCCCACCCATGGAGCATGCTGAGACAGCAATTGAGACTGGGTGTGGTGCTGCCTGCCTGTAATCCCAGCTCTTGGGAGGCTGTTAATAGGTGGATCACTACAAGTCCGATCTTGCAGTGAGACTCTGAACACCCTTGTAAACCCTTCTCTAAAAAAAAAAAAAAAAAAAAAAAGGAACAAAATTGCATCTCTCTATAGAAGACTGCAGTCCTATATAATCTGATCTCTGCAGTTTGTGATCAAATCTGTAACCTCAGATTTGCCTGCCTGTCTTGGTTCAAATAGACTTAAGTACGCATCATTGTGGGGACCTTTACATTGTTTCCTGTGTTCATTCTCTCACATACTTAGGCCTTTGGTTAAATTCCTCAGAGAAGCATTCCTAGCTTAAACAGCACTCTGACTGCTCTATCCTATTCTACAAGCCAGGAAAAAAAATTATTATTACAAGCTTTCTTTGTTTGGCTCATACATAGTAGGAGCTTAGTAAATCTTACTAAATACATAAAAAAGGTATGTGAAATACAAGTAAAATAATTAGCTTTAAGAAATAAAACATTCCTTATATAAGCCATGCAAACAAAAAGGGCAATGCCACTGATAATTAAAAGGAGTATATAATAATACCACAATTTAATGATAATCTGTAACTCCACTACTTTGGATTGCAATAATCTCCCCATGATCTTCCTCTTTCTACCTTTGCCTCTCTCTATAATTTGTTACTCATAAAGTGTGTCTTTTAAAACAAAATCTTCCATGTTTTAAAAGTATTTTTATATACTAATTTGCCTCATTTATACTACTAGTTCAGTTTATTAAAATTTCTTGTGTTATCTGTTTTTCTTTTTATCTTTTTGAGACTGGGTCTCTCTACACAGTTCAGGCTGGCCTTGAGCTCACTATGAAGCGCAGGCTGGTACTCACAAAGATCCTCCCTCCTCCTGCCTCAGCCTCCTGAGTGTTGAGATCATAGGAGTATGCCACCACTACCAGCCTTATCTGTTTTTTTTTGTTGTAAAAATCTTTTTGGTTATGTCTTGTATCTGAGTAACTACTTTGAAGATAGTGATACAGAGTTTATGAACTATTGTTATTCTCTCATTTTGTTATGAAATTTTATTTTTTCACAAAATAAAAACACAGTTAAGGGCCAAATAACTTAGCAGATTAAAGTGCTGGATTAGGTAGACACAGCAGCCGGGTTTGATTCTCAGCATTCAGTGCCGGCCCTGCCCCTGGGGCGAGCCAAAAAAAAAAAAAAATGGTGATTGAGACTGGGCGTAGTGGCATGTGCCTATAATCCCAGCTCTTGGTAGGCTGGACACAGGTGAATAACTTAGAGTCCGATCTATGTAGTGAGACCCTGTAGACCCTGTACTAAAAATACACAAAAAATGTAGCTAATAATAATAATAAAAACACCACACCACATCACTATTCTGTTCAAAATTCTGATCTTGTTAGAATAAAAGCCAAAATGCTTACAATCACCGAAAAGTCCTACATGAACAGCTCTTCACATGCCAGGAATGTTCCTTCTGTGAGGCCTATTTGCAAAGAGTTTTCTGCCTATTTAAAACATTCTTTGCATATGTGTGCCTATGTTTATAGCAGCACAATTTGTGATAGGCAAATCTTGGAAACAACCAAGATGCTCATCACCTGAGGAATGGTAGAGAAAGAGGTGGTATTTTTATACAATGGAGTATTATTCAGCTATTAAGAATGATAAACTGGGCTGGTGAGATGGCTCAGTGGTCTAAAGCACCTACTTAGAACAAGCGTAGCAAAGCACAGGGACCGCGGTTCAATCCCCCAGCACCACATGCCAGCCAGCCCTGCCCCCTGGTGGGCTGAGCTGGCC